ATAAGTGCCTTGGCTAGAGATTTAGAATGGCATATGAAGTTTTTAGCCAAATTCTCATTAATATATTTCTTAAGTGCAACCAAATTATTCTATGATAGGCTATAGATTGATTCAAATGATAACTAAGCTCTTTCTTGAAGATGGATGGAACAATTATAAAAATAATATTTTTAAAGAATATCTATATTTTTTTTTTCAAAAGCGTCTTGATAATCTTGATATTGACTTAGAATACAACTTGAATTTTTTTTCTATCAACAATAGGTAGAGTATATAACAAAAATTGATGCTTCTTTTACAACATGTATGAACATGTTTATGCATATCAATAATGATATAAATATATGAATTTTATAGATTTTTACTTACTTAACAAAATCTTGAGATAAATTATAAAAAAAATTAAGATTTCAAGAAATCTAGTCTATTTAAAGATTATATCTTTTTAACCATGATAATCTTTAAATAATTATATTAAAAGAAGATCTAATCATATTAAATATTACTTAACTATTATGACTATTAATTGCTACTTCTACAAGAGTAGTTTCATATACAATATCCTTAGAAGATAATAAAAAACCATCTATTATTTCCACATGAACAAGTTTGATTTTTTTAACTAAAGATATATCTTCTTTTTTGAAAAAGTCTTTGTCTATAAAAATAGATTGAGGTTCTTGAATCCAACAAGACTACGATTTTGTGAGTTTTTGGTCTTAACCAAACTTCTATTGTAAAATAAGGGGAGGGATCTAAAGAAAGATTAAGTCCTTTACTAAGAGTTGTGTAAGATTTCAACCACACGATCCTTATTGTACTTGAAGAGACTTTTTTTTGACATATTGTCCTCTTTGGAAACCATGCTTTTGATTTTGGGATTGCATTGCTTATTTAGATAATATTGAGTAGTATACTTGGATTCTCTACTATATAGATACAAACCTTTTTAACAACAATGAGTATTTTCTTGCCCAATAAGAGATTTAAAACATATCATATTAATTTATATTTGGTTTCAGCCTTGATGAATAAGTTTCTAAAAACTTAGAAGTTATTGTGATTATTTGACTTATTCTTCTCTAATACAGTCTTTGTTCTTGATGCCTTTCAAATAATTTTTTGTTGCATACAATGGATTGAGCAATAAATTGTTTCAAAGATTTCATTGTGAGTTTGATTTACTTATTTCTTTCAACTACACAACTTCTTAATATAGACTTTAAACTTCTTTTATAAGCATAAGATTAGAATTTCTTTAGTTGATACTAGTGATGCGTGAAATTTCCATCCTAAGAGTGTTGAAAAATTTGTAAAGATTTGCAAAAATTACAAATTTAATCTTATTTTTACCAAGTATAACATTCATAATTTTTCCTTCTATTTCAAATAACTTGACAAATCTATAAGTCAAATTAGAGGAAGATGATATACAACCTCTAATGTCAAATGAAAATTTCTACAAAAAAAAATAATTTGGTCTCTTTAAGAAAAAAATCAATTTTAAAAAATTAAATAATTTGTTTAAAGATGAAAAATCTACAACCTTCAAAATACAACAATAGAAGTAGAGAAATCTATTCAATTCTAAAACAAGATAAGAACAATGAATTAGGACTCTTATAAAATTATCAAGGATGTAAATATCAAAAAACTAAAATCTTAATACACTCTTGTTTTACTAAAAAAGGTTAAAAAATCATTCAAAGATGATATAGTATTAAATTGAAATGGCTACTATCAAAGATAAAAAGATAAGAAAGTCTTAAAACAAGACTAAGAACTAGAAAGGCATTGATAAGAACAATGAATTAGGACTCTTGTCAAATTATCAAGGACATAAATATCAAAAAACTAAAATATTAATACATTCTTGTTTTACTCAAAAAGATTAGAAAATCAGTCAAAGATGATATAGTATTAAACTAAAATAGCTATTATCAAAGATAAAAAGATAAGAAAGTCTTAAAATAAGACTAAGGACCAGAAAGGCAATGATAAGAGTAAAGAAGGCTTCACTTTTGCTCCCATATAGATTCTTAATTAAGAGCTACATGGTAATATCTTGTAAGATTTTTAAAGCTTGTTGACTTTACATGATACATAGCTTAATTTGTAAGGCAAGTTTCTATATGTACACCATATAATTAACTTATTCTATAAACTATCAATATGTGGTTAATTTTTTGATGAAGTTTCTAACCTATCAATCAACTATAAACACATATAAAGTCAAAGTATTATTTATAAAGCTTTTACAAAGTTTTTTTAGAAAATATTATTAAATTAATTTACTTGTACCTACTTCTACTTAACCATATATGTAAATATTAGAATAAATATGGATGTCTGTAATACATTTTTTCTAAATGTTATTATAGAAAAGCTTATCAAAATAAATTTTGCAATAGCACAAATATAAGAACAATTGAGAGAGTTAATGCTTGCAATGCATCAACTCAATTTACCACCACAAAAAAGAAGAAGAATAATAGAAAGTAGAGATATAGAGATGATTGGAGCTCCTTCAATATCTATATCAAATCATGTTTCTTTTCTTATAGTAGAATACCATTTAAGCACTAGAGAACCAAGAATTGTCTTACTTAAGAAGTTTGATGGTACACGATCAAAGTTTCAAGGGTTCATCAATCAAGTACAACTATCAATCAAACTTCTACTATAAAGCCATTCAACTCTACAATTACAAGTCAAGTTTATTGAAACACTATTTTTTGGTTTTCTATTATAGTAGTTTTTATCTTTTGTTAAATGATGTTGTCGTGATGTAACACAAATAATAGATGAAAATGATGAAAAAATTATTATGTTATAGAATATTTTACTTCAAATATTGTAGCAAATTATCTTAGAAGATAGACAATAGTCTAAAAAAAAATAAAAATAAAGGTGTAAATGCTATCTTTTAGCAAAGTCAGCTTTTATTTACTTTGTAAGAATATAAATAAGACAAAATAAGGTAGATTAGAAAAATAAAGGATATAAACATATGTAGGAAGAAGTTAGGGGTTGTTTTGAATAAAAGTTAACTCAAAAAGGCAAAATTTGTTACTCAAAGAGAATCAATTATTAATCTAGGTCAAAATCAAATTTCAAGGTACAAAACTAAGCATCTATGATAACTTCAGGATTTTTTGGCATATCAAAGAGCAAAATTTGAGAGCAAAATTAATAAGATTTCTTTGAGCATTAATTTTGAGTGATTTGAGTGTGTAATGACTTTATAAGAGCTTTACAAAATTGTAGTTATTTTGGATGATTTTAGAATTTATAAAATAAAAAAGATATTATATTTTAGAAAATTTTGTAAATTTGGTAGTAGATCTACAATTCAAATTTTAAAGACTTATATAAGTGATTGTCTGAAGTGCATGTTGAAAGTTTGAGCTTGATAAAACGATTGAATTAAAAACTATTTAATTTCAAGTAGGTTGAAATCTCTAAAATTAGACTTTGAAGGCAATTATGACTTCTAAGATCTTCAAAAATTTATTAGTTGGATTGAAGTGAAATTTATGTGTAAATGTAATAGACTTGATTAATTACACATATATGAAATTTGAGAACAATTAAACGGTTTGAAAAAGAAATATTGGCACTAGAAGTTAAACATTTAGATTGGAGTAGGAGGCCAGCCAATATCTAAGCAGATTTTAGGATTTTCCTTCCATTTGATAAGTGCAATCATCATCAAATTTTATATATTTGTTGCTAAGTTAGTTTTTGAGAAATGTGCAAAATTTCAAGGAAGTTCAATGGTTTAATCTATAGATATCAAGGTTCTAAATTGTACTAGAATTAAGTTGAGTTGGTTAGATTTTGGTTAGAATTTGGTTTAGGATTAGAATTAGGTTAAGATTTAGGATTTGCTTAAGATTTATGATTTAAGATTTTCTTAGGATTTAGGATTTGGCTTAGAATTTTATTGAAGTCTATTGGGGTTTCAACTTGAGTTAAGTTGAGACTTAGTTGAGATTTATTTAAAATATATTTGTGATTATTCTAATATTTTTTTAGGATTTTTTAGAGATTCTTTTAAGGTTTATTATAAATTTCTACTGAATTTCTTTAAGATTTCTTATTGTTCTTTTGTAATATCTTTAAGGTTTCTTTTAAATTTGATTAAAACTTGTTTTAGCATTGTTAAGGTTTAATTATTTAATATTGTATTATAGTTAAGATTTTGTTGTTGCAATTTCCATTCTACCTTCCACAACCAGGTACCCAATGCATTCTTAAGTAAGGGACAAAATCATAAAATAAGAAGTACGATTGTCAAAAAAGACAATGTATTGAAAAACAAGTTTGTCCAACTCTAGTAGGGACTATGCAGCTGGAAGCTTGTACAACACCTCATAAAGATCCTATTCACTCCTTAAGACCTTCTTATTTTTTACAATAGATATTAGTTTAAGATCTAAACATCACAAAACCTTTTTTTTGTTAGATTTAAGAGCCTCAGCTTGTTTTTTAGATGAAGATTTTTTTAAAAGTCATAACATATTTTTAGTAAATAAAACAAAACTTGTTTATGTAAAAGTTATAAATAGTCATTTATTGTTTTGTGAGACATTATTCATAAAACATTTCTTCTAGAAGTAATTTAGGTTAAAATAAACCTCTTCTAATTGGAAGTTTATTCTAATTTACAATGAATGAATTAACTTATGAATTTCTAAAATTACAACTATTAATTAAATTCTAATCTAATTATTCTTGTGGCTTTTTAAATAATCCAAGCAATCAAGCCAAAATTTTACAACTAATTCACATTCTTTATAATAGACCACTTAATAATTTAATACCATAAAATTCTTCTTTTAATTTTAATTTTAATTTTAATTTTTGTTTTTTTACCTTTCATTACTTTATTGTTATTACTATGATTATTATTATGATTATTATTAATAATATTATTATTATTTTATTTGATTTTACTTAAAATTCATCTTTTAGCACAAAATCTATCATGAATAAAATTCATCCTTAAATAATACTTCATCCATATACTTCATCCATTTTTAAAATTTTATCCATGATAAAGTTTATCATCCCGATTAAATTATTCATCCAACTAACCTAATTCAATCCTAACCCTAATCCATTCGCCTAACTGATCATTCAATCCGGGGAACTCATCCGTTGGAAGTTTGAAGAGGGTCCTCCACTACAATGATGAGCGATTGAGCAACGTACTCTTATCTTTTCCTTGCAAATATTGCAGTCAGCCTTGACGAGCAGTAATGGACTTTAGTTGCACTGGATCACCCGCTCGAGCAACATATTATTTTCTCTTTTTTTCGCAAAAACCACAGCCAATCTTGAAGACGAACGAAGAACCGCACTAAGGTAAGATAAAAAAATGGGTTCCAATGGACAAACGAATCTGTCCAATTCTACAATCAAAATTGCAATGGCGGCGGGGTTTTTAAGTCCTCATCAACACCTATGTGGCATCAATGCAGCAACTTTCAGACCTCACGTCCAGCTTCTTAGATCTATAGAGTGCCTGTCAACCAATAGCATTGGCTAGATTTTCATTTATATTCTCAACTAAAAAATGCTCTTTTATATTAGCTCTTTCACCTCTCTCTCTCTCTCTCTCTCTCTCACTAATACACACAACATGCACTCTGTCAACATAGCTCCTTTCGTCCATCAAGGAAATCCTGACACAAAAGCAACAACAGAAATTGCTACTTCTCTCTCTGTACTTCACACAACATGATGACTGATTTGAAGAAGGTACAGACAGCTAAACAACACGAACATCCAAGCGGAGATTGAGGCAGTAAGAATTGCTTGTTCCTTGGCTGGCTACTGCTTGTTGCTTCTCCTTCTTCTACGTTGTCTACGTGTTGATCTCGAGAGTGTTTCTACTCCGAAACAAGGCTTGACTACCAAAAGTCCAAGCTACCATAGAAGGAAAACACCGCAACAAAAGAGCCGCTCAAGAAAAAAACAAGATCGATGCAGAAGGCATCGCCACATCCCACCTTGAACCGCCAACTAGAGCGGAGGAAAAAAATCTGTAGGAGGAAGAGCCGCTGCAAAACCTTCGAACGCCCAGTAATGCCACTTCAGTCACCAAGCTATTGTAACGGAAGCACAAAATGGCTCCAACTGCCCCGCTTGGGCATGCCGAGTCGTCAACAGAGCACAGACCAGAGTCTAACCGGAAAGTAAACAAAATTGTTGCACTTCCTATAGTGCGTTAAGTGTGACACAGGCAGAAGAAAAAAAAACTCAGCTTCTACCAACTCTGCTACAATGGCCCAGCTCACCGAGCTTGACCTAAACGAAATTTACAGAGCACTACCACAAACACAGAGAAAAAGAAAGAATGAGAAACTGTCTTGGGCGCTCTTTGCCGGACCCCGGTAACCTCCTCCCGAAAATTTGGGATCTAACCCTCATTCCAAGAATTTCGGACATGTAAGGTATTCTTTCCCATTTTCTTTTTCTTTCTATTTTTTCTTTTCTCTTATTTCTCTTTTTTTTTTTTAATCTTTTTATTTCTATTTTTTTAATATATATATATATATATATATATATATATATGTATGTTTTAAAAATTATTGATAAAATAGAATTTTCTTTTTCTTTTGACTACAAGGGCTAATTCTATTGGGCCATTATCTACTGTTAGATACAAAAAAACATCTCCAACATGAAAATTTGTCTTAATAAATCACAATAAGTGCATTTTTTATACAAAATATTCAAGTAAGTTAATTTAGTGACTCACAAGTAGTAACTAATGGTTATAATAGTATTGTAGTATTTGATATCATTAAATCTCCTTCTAATTTAATAATTTTAGACTTATTATGGTTAAAAAAATACAATCTTCAAATAAATTGGATTTCTTGTAGCCTTGGCTTTTAAGAAAGTATAATTAAGAGTATAATTAATCAAATACAAAGTCATAAGTCTAATATAACAAAACTTATATTTATAGGTGCAAGAGCTTTTTTGTATGCTACAAAAGAAGGATCACCTTGTGTCATTTATGCCACACTTGTTTCTAATAGTAGAAAGATTTCAAATGGCATTCCTAGCTAATATTAAGATTTTGAAGATGTAATTGAAAAAAAGAATATAGATACTCTTCCAAAACATTGTCCCTATCATTACTCAATTGACTTTCAAGAAAGAGCTCAATTGCTATTTAGATCAATCTATAATTTGTCATAAAATGAGTTGACTAAATTCAAAAAGTATATTAAGGAAAATCTAGCTAAGAATTTCATACGCCATTTCAAATCTCCAATAGGAGCTCCAATTTTATTTGTGAAGAAAAAAGATGGATCATTGCGGATGTATATTAATTATTGACGATTCAATAAGATCACCATCAAGAACAAATATCTACTATCTTTGATATCTAGACTTCTTAATCAATTGAATCAAGCTAAGATCTATAGTAAAATAAATTTATGAAAGGTATATAATGTAGTATGCATCAAAGAAAGAGATGAATAAAAGACTGCATTTTAAATCATGTATGGATATTTTGAATTTAATTTCATGACTTTTGGACTTGCAAATACACCAATAGTTTTTCAACATCTAATAAATGATGTTTTTTAAGAATTTTTGGACGATTTTATTGTCTATTATCAAAATAACATCTTAATCTAATCTAAGACGACAAAAGAATATGAACTTCATATTTGTTGTGTGTTACAAAAATTAAAAGATCCAAAGTCTATTCTAAGATAGAAAAGTGCATATTTTACATTATTCAAATAAATTTCTTAAAATATATTATTTCAAATAATGGACTTATGATAGATTCTAAGAAAGTTCAAACTATTATGGATTGGAAGATTTCAAAAGAGATAAGAGATATTTAATGCTTTTTGAGATTTGTTAATTACTATTAAATCTTCATCAAGGACTTCTCTCAAGTTGTAGTTTTATTTATATGTTTGACTTATTAAGACAAACTTTAATGAAATTAAGAAGCAAAAGTAGCATTTAACGCTTTGAAGATAATCTTTGTTTTTGCACCAATTTTGTAATGTGTCAACTTTTCTAAGCCATTTTTTTATAAAAATAGATCTATCAAACTTTGCTTTGGATGGTGTATTATTATAAATAAGAACAAATGATAAACTTTACTTAATAGCTTTTCATTCTAAAAACTTTTCAACAATCAAGATCAATTATAAGATCTACAATAAAGAACTTTTTATAATTGTGGATTTGTTTCAAGAATAGCGCAATTATTTAGAAGACACTCCTAGTTTAGTCATTGTATATATAAATCATAAGAATCTTAAGTTTTTATATCAATATATATTTTAAATTATTGCAAAGCTTGTTGAAGCATGTTCTTCTTAAGATTCAAATTTAAGATTACTTATTAATCAAGAAAATAATAAGGTTTATCAGATGCACTCTCTAGACAATCTTATCTTGTACTAAAGGAAGGAGATATTGCTTTTGATCAATAATGGATAATTTTCTTGAAGCAAGAATATCTACAACTTTGAACAATGAAATCAATACTAATTGTTGATTTAACTTTTATTAGGCAAGTTCAATCAAGTATATCTTATAATTCTTTTATTTGTCATATTAAAGAAAATCCTTTAAAATCTCATAATACTTTCAAGTTTAAATTTTAAAATGATCTATTATATTTTGAGGGGCATTTATATATTCTAGACAGTAAAATTTAATTATGTGTTCTTCAAGCTTGTGATGAATTTTTAGAAGCACTATATTTTGGATATAATAAGACTTTGAAATCAATATCAAATTATTTTTGGTGGACTTATAAGTAGAAGGTGGTTAAAGTTTTTGTACAATCTTGTGATATTTGTTCAAGATCAAAAACTTCTTGTCATCAACTTTACGGACTTTTTCACCCATTACATATTCCAAAATAACTATGGTCTTTTGTTTTTATAGATTTTATCTAAAAACATCCAATCTAAGGTTCTTATGATTCTATATTTGTGATAGTAGATTATTTCATTGAGATGGCATATTTTGTACTATGTAAAAAATATATCACAAGTAAAGAAATAGTGAAGCTTTTTTTTGAAAATATCTATTGCTATTATGGATTGCTTAATGATATTATATTAGATGGGAGAACTTAGTTTGTATTAAGATTTTGGAAAATACTTTTTAAGATTTTAAAGATGGATATAATATTATCTTTGACTTTCTATTCTAAAATTGATGGAAAAATAGAGCGTTGTCGTATTACGTAAAGTCTTGCTTGAAAATGCACCAAACACCTGACCGTGGGAGATAAAAGAAAATTGCAACAAAAGGTCCTAACAATCCAATAGGATTATAGAGAAATTATAATTAAATATTAACAATCATAATCAAACATTAAGCAAGCTCAATTAAATTTTATTGAAGTTATAAAAGAAACACAAGGAAATCCTAAAAAAATATAAAAGAATATTAAAGAAAACTTAGTCAAATCCTAACAAAAATCTAAATAAATCTTAAATTCTAATCAAACCCTAATCCTAATCTAACCTTAATCAAACCCTAGACAAACCCTAAACCCTAAACATACCCTAGTCAAATCTTAGACAAATCCTAATCCTAACAAATCTTAATCAATTCCAAACTCTAAACAAATCCTAGTCAAATCCTAAACAAATCCTAGTCAAACCCTAGTCAAATCCTAACTCTAAACCCTAACCAAAACTTAACCCTAACCAAATCCTAAATCCTAAACCAAATCCTAACCAAACCCTAACCCTAAACCCTAATTAAATCCTAATCCAAACCAAATCCTAATTACAGATTTTAAATTTAAATAACTAAAGATTGAACCGTTGATTCTAATTCAAAATTTGCACACTTCTTGGAGTTTAAATTAATAACCAGCACACATATTTTGAAGAAAATCGCACTTACCAATTAGTTGATGACCTCAAAATTCTACTCGGATGTCGGCTGGCCTCTCTTTTTCCAATCTGATGTCAAACTTCCAGTACCAATATCTCCTTTTTCCATTGTTCGATTGCTTCCAAATTTTACTTGCATATAGGAAATCAAGTCTTCTACTGATAAAACGAAAAATCTCTCCAATCCAATTAGCAGATTGCTAGATATCTAAGAAAATCTTATTGGTCTTCAAAACCCTAAATCTCGAGACCTTAGTCCATAAAAACCTTCATATGTATCGATCTAGCCATTCGATTGACCTCAAATCTCTTGTACACATTAACAACAAGTATAAAAATAAGTCTCTAAATTTTCACCCGTAAAAATACTACAAAAGTCACGAAATTCAAAAATTATAAATTGATTTTATTTCTCAAAGATCTAAATTCACAGAGATCATCACTCGCTTTAAAAATCCCTCAAAAATCCAATACTGATCCAAACGACACAAAATCACCTCTCAAAAATCTCTCGACAAGTCTGCTCTCTAACTTAGCTCTCCGATCTCCCAAAAGAACCCTTGAGTTGCTGTCAGAGTGCGGTTTTATGCCTCGGGGTCTGATTTCGACCCAGGTTCATAACCGGTCCTCTTCGGGTACCAACTTTCGTCTTCTTGAGGTAATTTTTACTAATTGCACTCCTAACTCCTCCCTACATATGCCTATATTCTTTATTTTTCTAATCTACCTTGTTTTGCCTTATTTATGGCCTTACAAAGTAAATAGAAGCATAATTTGCAAATAGGGAGCATTAGCACCTTTAATTTTTCTACCCTTTGACTAGTATCTATTTTTCCAAGATAATTTGCTACAATATTTTTGAAATGAGATCCTCAAAACATGATATTTTTTTCACCCTTTCACTTGTTATCCGTGTTATATCATGATAGCATGTAAATCAAGTTTTGAAGTAGTATTTGAGGTATACCATCAACTTCGAAGAAGTTAATCAAAAGATTCTTTTACCATTGGCAAAGTTTGCTTGTAATAACATGATACATTCTTCTATATAATAAAAAAAAAATTCTAATTATGATTATCATCTATAGTTTGATGTTTTTGACTTTTCAAAAGTTGGTTATCTTACTGCAAAAGATTTAAAAAATTATTTATTTGAGTTACTTATAATAATGAAGGTGTGACTGAAAGATGCTCAAAAATAACAAAAAAGCAACAAAGATGCCTATCACAAAGAGCAATCTTATTTCCATGTTAGTAATTATTTATGATTACTTTGTCATAATATTAAAACTATTTGTTCTTTTGACAAGTTGAATTACCATAGATTTGGACCATTTCTTATTTGTGAATAAGCTAATCTACTTGCTTGTCAATTACATCTATCAATGTTATGATGCACTTAATTTAAATGCATCAAAGATATTTAGAAGATAATTAGTTTTACTTAT